ATAGTTGTTTATTTAAAAAATTATCCATTTTACAACCATATTTTTTTAAAGCAACTATGTGTTTTCTTTATACACCAATTGATTCATCTCATTATTCTATTCATAAAAGTATTAAGGTACGATTATTAAAAAAATTATTAGCTTACGAGTTATTTAACATTTTATGTCAATATGTGCCAGAATAAGGTATAAAATATCTCGTAAACTATTGATTTTTCGATACCATGATCTTAATACTTTTTTATGCAAAATAATTAGAAGAATCATATTGTGTAAAAAAATTCATATAATTCCATTCAAAAAAATGAAGCTGACCTTGAAATCTCCGAAGCGAACAAATCTCCACCTGGACAAAAATTATTATCACCATATGATAGCCCCCTTTATACAGGGTGTCTAAAAAAAACAGATCGAAACACAATGGGGACGTAGATTGGATCAAGGGGAACAAAACAGTTTTGTACCATTTTGCAGTTGACGCAATATTTAACGAGATATTAACGTTTAAAGATAGGCGAATACAAGCGTGCGACGTTAATATCTCGTTAAATATTGCGTCAACTGCAAAATGTTTTTTCTCTACACCTTATAGATTAGAAGATATTTCAGATGGACAAAGTTATTGCCCCACCCTGTATATACCAGGTGTCTGAGACCACCCGTACACCCTTTTATCACGGAAACAGAGCATTTTAGAAAAAAACGTTTCAGACAAAAGTTGTATGGTTTCGAGATGTACATAAGATGTTGTCATTGGTTTGACCTTGAATAGTCGTTTGAAAGTCATATGAAGGTCACGTTGATTTTTCTAAATGATATACCCTATTTTTCATTTCATATTCTTGTAGCTTATCTCGAGAGCTTTTCAAAATACTAATCAAATATTTTTCATAGAATTTTTAAGAATTTTTTGTGTTATAAGACTTGAAAGTTATAGTACCGCCGGCATTAGCATTATGCAATGTGTCCGACCGATGGTTAAAATCTCTTAAATGTTCAGGATCATGTCCTGGATAATATTTATCAAGATTAAGATCATTGGAGATTATTGTTTTACAAAATGTTTTGTATTTTGTCAAAATGTTGGAATTTTTAAGTCTTATAACTCAAAAAGTTCTTAATGAAAAAGTATTTGATTATAGTGTTTTGGAAAGCGCTCGAGATGAGCTATAAGAATATGCAATGAAATATAGGGTGTACTATTTGGAAAAATGAACGTGACTTTCATATGACTTTCAAATGACTATTCAAGGTCAAACCAATGACACCATCTTATGTACACCTCGAAACCATATAACTTTTGTCTGAAACGTTTTTTCCTAAAATGCTCTATTTCCGAGATAAAAGGGATGTACGGGTGGTCTCAGACACTTGGTATATATGTGTGTATATACACACACACACACGCGCGCGCGCGCGCGCGCGCACGCACGCACACACAGCGTATATATTGTATACATATAGCGTTTATATTTCATATGATATTTATTTTTATAGCTGCGATCATGAAATATATGAAGTGCATTACCGAACTAGAATTTGAGACCAAGCCCAACTATTCCTATTTACGGAATTTATTTCTACGTAGTGGCAGTCAAGATGGCAATATTCCCATATGTCTCTATAACATGAAAGAGTCAAATGAAAATCTTACAAGCTCTATATTTTTTGAGCGTCCATATTTAAGAGAAAGAAAACCTTGTAGACCTGTAAACGGCGAGGTAAAAATTTGCTTGAGTTTTAAGTGTAATAAAATTTTTTAATTTACATACGCGGGCATGAATTGATTATTACTTTAATATTATCTGTTCTAGATACGAATAACACGAAATACCCAGCCTAAGCAACCAGTTCAGAAAAAAGAATTTAGTTGGGAAGCAGTATTAGCATTACATCCAGATAAACTTGCAAAAATCAGTACTCAATTGCCACCTTCACCTCTCACACCGCCTCTTACACCACCATCGTCCACATCTCCGCGGCCACCATCTCTGCCGACGTACGCAATGTTAGAAGTACTTCGTAAAATGAAGGAGAGGCAATCATTTTCATTTAGGCATAAAGCAATACCGAAATCATCGGAGTAAGTATCCACTTTCGCAATATATATATTTTTTTATGTATACATATACACACACACACACACACAAACACTTTGATTGTTTAATGTGTGATTTTTCGAATTTTAGTAATGAACTCAAACCAAAATGGATGACACCCGCAATGGAAGAAGTTGCGCGATTAAGAAAAAAAATCACTGAGACGTCCATTTCTGTATCCGACTCCCAAAATAGTCCACGCGTGACACGTTCACGTGTGGCAAAGAGACAACGTAAGATTGTAATTTCACATACACACACACACATAAACAAACATACATACAGTGTGATTTATCACTACTACACTTTTAATCATAGTGTCATATTTAGGTATTAATGTATTACGAACTAAATTATTTATTAAATACTGTCAACTTTAGCGAATTATTAAATTATTGATCAAATAGTCGTTTTTTATTTTATTTACTGTCAGAATGATCAATTTGCAAAGAATCTCACTTTATTACTCATATAAATTAAAAAATTAAACTAAGTTTGGAAAATATTGTTGGCATTTTCTATTGCAGAAAATAATTATTTTTATAAAGCTTTTATAAACGTTAGACAAATTTGTTATTATAAGTTGATGCGGTGGTGATGAACCACCATATGTATACCCTTTAATTTAGATATGTAATATATATTTGATGATATATTTGCATATTATAGGATCTGGTGCTCAGCAGCAACATAAAGAAATAAAGGATGATTCGACCAATAGCAAGGTTACACATAAAAGAAGGAAAGTTTCATCTTCTTAAAGAAAGTTGGGTCCTATTAAGAAACACGGTAGTGTCTCGCGCCAAGTATATTGCGCCCGTATTGGGCGCAGGAGATACTACAATGCATCTTTACTCGAACGTCAAATTGACCGAAATTAGTATTACAAAGACCTCTGACAATGATGATCGGCATTCACAGCAAACATTAAGTATTATTTGATAAAATCTCATCCATTAATGATGTTATAGACACACATCGCGCCAATTTATTTAAGACTGCTTCATTATTGTATTATTTGCTCTTTGATAACTTTATCTGGTACATATAGGATTTCTAAATAGTTGTATAGCGAACAAAATAGTGGTGATTAATGAATAAGTACTTCCTTTTATGAAAGGCAGAGATTCAATAGAATTAATACGTTTATATAGAAATATTGATTTGATGAACATTTCGTAACATTTCTGAAAGATGCAGCGATTTCAGATTTAATTGATTTAAGATTGTACAAATAAATTGCAATTTAGTTGTTAGTTTGAATTTATTTAATTTTGTGCAGTATTATTGGTGTAATATATTAAAACCCATCAGATCAATCAATATTTGAGCTACATACGATTTAAATTGGACATTGATGATATACAATAATTGATTTAATTGATAATAAAGCAAGCAAGCAGTTGTAAAATTGATTATATTTTCATCTTTTTCTCTTAAAAAATATGATTTCAGAAGCAAAAATAAATTTGCACAAAATAGAAAAAATAATTATATAAAAAGTTATGCATAATTATGTACATTACAAAATTTTGACTTAAGAATATCTTGTGCAATATAGATCATAAAATAATATCGAAGAAAAGAACTTGGATTTATCATATTCTTTGTAAAATCTCGTTTTCCATAACTATTGTCTCTTTTCCTATTTAGCTGCTCAAGAATTATAAAATATTAAGGAGTTATTCATTCATGTGATTTCATCATCATTCATACAAGATTGAGCAATGTATAAAGCAGAGATAGCACAGGTTCTTTCTGCATTACGCATATCGCACATCATACGCTTTCCTTTGTTTAACTCTGCAAAGTTAACATTTCTTCATTACATTGTTCTGCTAATTTGTACAATAATAATTTATATTCAAAGCTACACTAATTTTGACGGTACGTACTTGCTACATGTATGTGTTACATGTATACAAATATAAATCGTAATGTATTCTACATTTAAATTTACATTATGACACTTAAAATTGGTACTAACGTTTTAAGGAGGATAATAAGATTTACTACAGAGGAACATTTGTAAACTATATGTTAAGATCACACACGTTCTTTAATATGCTGTATGAATGAAAGATTTGATAAATATCGATGGAATGACTTCCGAATTTATTATATACCGAAAATATGCGATTTAGTCAATTTTATTGTCACACTGTGCTACGACTTTTTATAGTTTGATACAGATATCCTAATCTAAGTTTAGAAAACATTATTAGTTTATGTTTAGTTTTATTGTTAGTGCTTTCGTTGACAAATCGTGATTCATTTATAGGTTTATATTAGAATTTTTTACAATACATTTGTGATAATTTATTTTTTATCGTTCTAAGTTAATATTATGTGTATATGTACCTGTGTGTGCCACAAGAATTACTGCTTTAACTGAGACTAACTATCATTGATCGTACATCATTCGTATTTATATTTTATTTCTATTTGTAAAATGTTTTGTCATATTATTTATATATGAAAATGTTAGGTACTTGGTTTCTAAGAAAGTAGGTATCTAAGAAATCGAAATGATTTCTGCGTATGAGATTTGAATAATGGCAAAGTCTTTGCAGAAAGAATGTCTATTATTTGTTAATATTTTGTACGGCCCAATATTATTACATCACTTTGTATAAATTGCTAGTAATAAAGTGGACTTTATAGTAGTAATAATTAAAGTCATCGCGCAATAAGGGCGCATTCTCCTAAGTATTGTTAGAGAAACTATTATTGGTTCATAAGAAAGATGCGATAATTTAAGTTTAAATGAGGGAGATGTAACTAAGTGTAACTATGATCGGAAAACAGAGAACTACTAGATAACAGAAGACAAAATGTATGTAATAAAGTAAACTGTGTATTAGACTATACTCGCATCGGCATTTTCTTATAGCGATCTTGTATATGTACGTTGTTTATACGATGCGAAATATAAAACAAATATGTATGATCAACAAATTGAATGATTTCTTTCCTCTATAATATTATTGCGCATGGAACGTTATAATATAATATTTATTATATAAATTATTACTGCAGAATGTATGTAAAATAATTAATTAATCCGAGCATTATTAATTATCATTAATTAAATTCAAACGCCTTTTTCATTATTAATCTGCGTTACGTAAATACATTTACGGTTATTTTTTATCATTATGATTATTCAGTTAGTAGTTAGATTTATTATGTAAGATATACATATATAATTCTCAGGTAATAGCGGCTGATGAAGACCGAGTAAAAAAAAAAAGTTGAAAGCTTACGATGTGTAATTATATTTTTTTACTTAATATAACGCCTCGTATACGATACGTTTTTCGGCCTATTATTAAATTATATCTTTCAAGATAATTTTCATTTACGACGGATTAAGGGGCGACGTCCTAATGTTCAGAAAGCATTCTCCATTCATCTCGCCGTTGCGGGATGCAACGGCGAGCGCTGGCCGTCTAATAATAGAACGCCAACGATTCCGTAGAAGTATCGTGCACGCGTAGCTGGTCCCTAATATATGCACGCGTGTAGATGCGTGTATTCCTCGAAAAAATAAACGCAACTCAGCGCGAGGGATAAAGGGTAGAGGGGAAAGGAAGGGAGGTCGTAAGAATGTGTAGCAACGACTTTCACGACGCTTGGTTGAGCAATATATATATTCGGGAGAAGATCTTTTATTTCGAGAGAGAGACGTTACGCCGCTCGTTAATATTCTACGCAATGCGTGCGCGTATCTCAGTTCCACTTTCTCATCGAAACGTCTCAGATATATCTTCCGAAATACATATCGTCTTTTCGACAATTTCGACAAAGATTCCAGCGATTTGTATTAGCTGTCGGAGGCCACTAGATCAAATTAATTTTAGTACTCAGAGATGGATTAAAAAATATATAGAAATATATCGATTATATACTACTCAAATTTTCTAATTTTATTAAAAACCGATTCATATAAATATCGACATAAAAAATTAATTCTAACAGTTAAGTATACTAACAATGAATTAGTATATGTTGAAATTTTTATGTACGAAAAAAGTATTATATATGCAATATTATAATAAGTATATATATATTTAAGTACTGTATTACATGGATACTTTTATTGCTTGCATTGTACGATACATACATTTGATGACACAAGTCGATACAAATAACAACTGTTTTTGTTACTTATTGAATATAAAGAAAAATAGAACAACGTTTATGTCGATTTGTGTCACTAATTGCAGAGTTGATAAAAAATATGTTTTCAACATGTTTTAAATGTTTAATCGATGTTTTTAACATGTTTTAAACATATTTTTTGTAATATTGTTTAAAACATGTTTGAAGCATTAAAAAAATGTTTAAAAAGAAACACATCATGTTTCATTCTTAAAAAAAAACTTAATCTTTGCTACTCTGTACTAATATCCGTTTCTACCAACGTAGTTTAATTTTAATCTCGAGTCAATTAATTCTTCATATTTTTCTAATTCTAAGAATTAGAAAGAGATAAAAAGTAAATTGATTTCTAAAAATTAAAAAAAGATGAACAATAAGTTAAACCGATTTTAATTTTACATTGATGAAAATTAAGCTATCCGCCCTTAATGGGGGGAAAAAGCTACCTCTATTATTAAATTATTACTACTATAAATCTGATTTGATTCAATATTATCGCTAGTCACACAATAATTAATTTCGATGTAATTGGGTATTACCGAAAAACTTTATATTCCAATATCAAGAAAAATCCAATTATATATTAATTTTTTGACATTTATTTTGCGAGTCTTCAAGTCTTAATAAAATTACTTGGATATTTTCTATCCCTCTTGCTTTACTTGCTTTCTAAATCTTTTAGGATGCATTTCGTTCTAAAAACTACAATCTCATTCTTAAAGATTGAAAATTGAGCTATTCTTTTTCAAGATTGGCTCAATTTCCATTCCAAAGAATTTAGAGAGTATACAGTGAGTGCAAAAAATATTCGTGCAGAGAAAATATTTTTTAAAAAAACTATTTTTAAAAAGTAGATATTATCCAGCGAGAAATGAGTCATCGAATTGATGTCGAATCGATATCGATACGATGATTTCAACACCAATTTGACGTCGATTCGACGTTTAATTGACGATCACTTCTTGCTGGGTAATTAACAATTTATTCATAAAGAAAATAAAATAGACTGTATGTTTCTTAAAATTATACATATATCAAAAAGATGTGTATTAATTATATAAAATATATCATCTGAAAAATAAGTGAAAATTAAAAATTGTATCGTTTGGATGCTCAAAAAGTATTCGTACAGTCGAGAAATTTAGCTTCTAAAATCAGGAATACATGCGAAGCTTATTTGTTTATGTTAGAACAGAATGTATTCATTGTATAAAATTGCTAATTAATGTTTATTTTCTACAAATAAGACTCTTTTTATGACAAATTTCCATGTACGAATACTTTTTGCACTCACTGCATAACATTAATTGTCATCTTTTATAGTACGTATGCAGATCGAAATAATTAATTTGCATTTTCTAGAAACGCGGGGTGTCGAATCGGAATTGTATGTTTCGCAGAATTCTCAGGAACCTTCATTGGTTCGTGGGATCGTTCACCCTCGGTGATTTTCGGCGTGCCGCGCCGTGCATCGGCCGCGCGGCCTGGCGCGGTTGTTGAATCGGTTGAATGTCAGTCGCGTTTCATCCTGCGACCGCGTCGCGTGAGACATCCTTCTCGGCGAGTTTTGCCGCGCCGCGTTGCTCCGTGCCGGTCACGGCAGTCGGTGGTGTCAGTCGCGTTCCGTTCGGTGTGCACGTACGTTTCTTGTTCGTCGAGCCGCGTTCATATAATTCCGATCCTTCATCCTTTTTCCGCGGCGAGACTTTTGGCGCCGAAAGATATGTCAGTCGCGATCGGCGCACGTTCGTGGACGCGCGGTTGCGTCGTTCAACACGACGCGAAACGTCGCGCAACGTGACGAGCGATGATCGTGGCGTGTCTCGCGAGTAACAACGTGATTACATTGACGATCGACGTGAGATTGCTCGACGAGGGACGCGCGTCACGATGGGCAGCGAGGCGGATGTGGAAGCTGCGAGCACCAACGCC